ATACAAATGTCACCAATCCCCGCAATCTTTGAGTAACTTGTGTTACCCATTTTCACTGTGCCGTAATCACCTGCTACATATCTGCAAAAAAGATCTCTTACCGGTGTGGCATGGTGAGATGTCGTTGTGTCAACCACCCATTCCGACTCTGGACCTGACAGGTGCATGCATTCCTCTTCCTCATTTATAAAGAGGACAACATTATCATTATTTTGCACCATGGCGGCTGTGTTGTCGTCATTCTTCTGGCCACTGGTTTCACCTTTGCCCTTCCTTGGATTTGGGCAATCTCTTTTGAAGTGACCTGGTTGATTACAGTTGTAGCAATTTCTGACTCTTGATTTGGATCGGTTCTTTGACTTCCCACGAGCTCCGGATCTACCATAGTTGTTCGAACTCCTTTGATAACTCCTGCCTCTACCTTCTGTGATGAGAGCCTGTCCTTGATTTTCAGGCTTCTTTCTCATCTTCTCATTGAGTAGAAGAGCCGATGTGACATCTTTCAACTCAATAGTAGTCTTACCGTGCAGGATGGTTGTTGCCAAATTATCGTACGAAGATGGCAACGAGTTCAATAGCAAGATGGCTTTATCTTCTTCCTCGATTTTCACTCCGAGGTTGGCAAGCTGTGTGATTAGTCCGTTAAACACATTTAAATGTGACAAAAAATTCGTACCTTCACTCATGTGTAGGGCGTATAACTGCTTCTTCAGGTACAATTTATTTGTCAGCGTTTTGGACATGTATAGGCTTTCCAACCTTGTCCAAATTCCTCGTGCAGTGTCTTCATCAATGATGTTATTTACCACATCATCTGATAAGTGCAACCTAATTGCACTAGCAGCTCTTTCATCCAAGTCAGCCCAATCCTCAGCTTTCATGGTATCTGGCTTTTTGGAATCAACATCTAGAACCTTGTGTAATCCTTGTTGGATGAGCAGATCTCTCATCCTTCTTTGCCATGTTGAGAAACCGTTATCTCCGTTGAATTTTGCTACCTCGTACTTTACTCCGGACATTTTTATTTTTCACCAAGTATAGTACTACCGACAGTGAATAGTATTTCAGTGAACGAGCAGAACCTGTGCTCTGATACCAGTTGTTGGGAATAAACCCCTTACCAAAATAATATTCACGGTAATAAAGCGGAATAATAATGTAGCACCGAGATACGGTAATTAACAAGAATAAAAGAGTAACAATGACACCAAAATTTTTACGTGGAAAACCCTTCTGAATAAGGGAAAAAACCACGACCCCGAGAGGAGCAACTGATATCACTATAGTAAGGAATTTTACACTTTGTAGGTCGGAGATAAATACTCCAAAGACCACTACAACACTCAAAAGAAATAACCCTCTTTTGATATTCCCACCTCACTACAATATCGCTCACTCTCTATTTTCCTCACAGACTATTTTCTTATACCTTGTCTGTGAAACCTCACTCTTTCTTTCTCTCTTTGTTGGTGTGTAGAAATGAGAGTTGAAGCTCTCCTTTTATAGCCAAAGTTTCACCCTCTAAAGCCTACAATATTTGACAATTTACACACACTTTTCACAATTCAACAAAGTTGGCTACCAAACCAAAGAAATTCAACAAGGTTGGCTACCAAACCAAACTAATTCAACAAGGTTGGCTACCAACCAAACCAAGTCAACAAGGTTGGCTACCAAACCAAAGAAAACTCTTATTAGGCACATGCCTAATACTTGTTCAATGAGATGGACATCATCAGGAATCTCACGCTGGTGAATATTCATGGTTTCAATGTCTACCACAGGAATCGTTTGATATTGGTGAGTTGCTCTATCCAATGTTTTGATTTTGTAAATGGTACTTTGACTCATCTAGCACCTTCAGAAATTTCCCCACTTCTCCAGAAGCCACTTCGCGCTTTTAAAAGACACATAGCTTTTGAGGTTTACTCTAGGACCTGATAATGACTGAAATTGATATGCATAAAACGATAAATATGCATAAAACGATAAAATAGTAAATATTCCACCTGTCTTACTACAAAATTGTTTTGCATAGTGATAAACGAGATATCCATACCTTCAGAGTCTATTAGGACCCAAATAATTTAATGAAAAAGAAAAAGGAAAAAAGGAAGAGAAGGAAAATGAATGAGATGAGATAGTTTCGTAATTTGAACCTAATTGATATGGAGGATAGAGGGAAAAGGATTTCTAATGGGAAACTGTTTGCTGTGGGTCTGAAACAATGTTTCAGTATTAGTTCCATTACGCTTTTAGTTATGCATTCCTCCATATACCTACTTCCCTTAAACATATCTTTTGTAAGCCTTCTCAATTTTTCCTTCCATCTCTCTTATCTTTGTGAACTGACGCTAAATATATATTCTGCATTTAACCTGGTCTTCGGACAAGTATACACTTTTTTGCACTGTGTTTATATCCTTTTGCTTAATTATCTTCTGCAATGGAGTAACAGATTTTACTGTAAATGATATCTTGAGCCTATGTCTTGTCTTAAAAAAGTCCATTCGTTTCTTTGCAGCCATTTTGGAATGTGGCAGGCTCTTCTACCGCTAGAAGCAGAGGGGTTCTAGGTAAGGAGCCTATGAAGCATTTCTTCTCTACTTGTGGGGCTTTATCTTTTGGTCCACTACTAGCTGGAAAAGGCTCTAACTAATTTTCCTGCCTTTTTAGGTGTTCTAGAAACAAACTTTATTCAGCCAACTCATAATAAACAGGACTTCGAGAAAACACCCCTCTTTCAAAAGCTCGAGAACCGATTAAAGGAGATGACATGGGAGTACTGGTAGGCTATTACTTGAAGAACTCTACGCCTACAAACTGCTGTTTAGCACTGAGTTGTATCGCTCCTATTCCTGGGCAACTAGTTTATCTAACTTCTCCACATGGATTACACACCAATAAACTGCTGCTTAGAAAATGAGCTGAATCCCAACTGTCTTGGACGGCCATTTTACATTCTATGCATGTATTTCTGTCTTAAGCAAGGAAATGAGAACTGTCTATTTAGCTTCTCAAATTGATTGCTATTGTTTATCATTCTGGATGCCCTTTTTGCTTGTTCTTTGTGTGATTCTTGTTAATTGAATGTTTATTTGTTGATTGATTGGTTTTATGTATTTATGATTTGATTTTGACAGGGATTATCACTGTGGACTAATTGGTTATCATGCAACTAAAAGGCTTTATAAACCTTCTCAGGTTTCATCAGAATCTAGACAGAAACATGGTACGTATTACCCCATTCCGTTGAGCAAAATGTCCTCTGCTGTTGCTGGTGCCAAAGTTTTCTGTACTGGGAAACCTTCCTTCCCAAATAACACAGAAGATGTTGACGGACCAAAAACAAATAGAGTCTGTTGTCATTATGTGCATATTTCGGTGGGGTTTGGATGATTCCTCATTTCAAGGAGGATTTTGTAGCAATTTGTGAAACGAACAGAAGTTGGTGGAATCATCAAAGAATGTGATATGATAGTATGTACCTGGATATGTGTTCTTGTCAGTAACTTGCCACGGGAGTTGAATCTCTTAACTTGCAAACAACGTATCAAACAAAAGCACAGCTAACACGTGATACAGTTTGAAAATATTGTTTATTGTGCCCTAATCTTCTCTAATTTTTAGTGCTCCTGGCACATAATAGATATACCAAATACATCCACAATAGGAAGATCTGCAAGTTGAAATTAATGGTGTCTAACTTCTGAATGATGGCTTAAAAACAGTAGTATTGTAATATATCCCATCAGACATTATTTAGTATTTGATCAATTAGGGGGACACGGAGATATAGAAGAATGTATCATAATTCATATTAGATGTATTGTTTGGGAACTTGTTGCTGTCTCCTGTCTTGCATGTGTTCGCAGATTGCATTTTCATATACTTTTATCCACTGGACATACAGTATTAATGCATAAATTTCTCTTTGATCCCTCGAGGTTGTTCAACTTTCATTTCACCTCTATTTGCTATCAGAATAGGTCTTACCCTTGGCCTTTAACAACCCGATGAGTTTGCGCTATACATTCCCGTACTACCCGTAAGCACCTTTTGTCACTAGTACCTCTCATACAATCTTTTGTGATTTACAGCAACCACGAAAAGGAAAGACCATGATCATTCAATAGAACCTGAAATTCTGAAACTAAAGGCGGGATTAAGGGTCAATCTAACTGGTCCCGAGTCCATTCAAAATCCGGTTTGTGTCTACGAACTTTCCTCCACTTATTTTGACTTCAATAATTGACTGTGAAAGTTAGCATTATGTTTTTCCATTTTGTCCATGCATTTGAGGTCATGCTCTTCTTTTCTTTATGTTTAACTGAACATAGCCTGCCAGCACTACCACAAGTCACTTGGAAGATCAAGAGATGGTCCTCCTCCTTAAAGAGAACAAAAGGCTCAACGCACGGNTGGCTTAAAAACAGTAGTATTGTAATATATCCCATCAGACATTATTTAGTATTTGATCAAATTAGGGGGACACGGAGATATAGAAGAATGTATCATAATTCATATTAGATGTATTGTTTGGGAACTTGTTGCTGTCTCCTGTCTTGCATGTGTTCGCAGATTGCATTTTCATATACTTTTATCCACTGGACATACAGTATTAATGCATAAATTTCTCTTTGATCCCTCGAGGTTGTTCAACTTTCATTTCACCTCTATTTGCTATCAGAATAGGTCTTACCCTTGGCCTTTAACAACCCGATGAGTTTGCGCTATACATTCCCGTACTACCCGTAAGCACCTTTTGTCACTAGTACCTCTCATACAATCTTTTGTGATTTACAGCAACCACGAAAAGGAAAGACCATGATCATTCAATAGAACCTGAAATTCTGAAACTAAAGGCGGGATTAAGGGTCAATCTAACTGGTCCCGAGTCCATTCAAAATCCGGTTTGTGTCTACGAACTTTCCTCCACTTATTTTGACTTCAATAATTGACTGTGAAAGTTAGCATTATGTTTTTCCATTTTGTCCATGCATTTGAGGTCATGCTCTTCTTTTCTTTATGTTTAACTGAACATAGCCTGCCAGCACTACCACAAGTCACTTGGAAGATCAAGAGATGGTCCTCCTCCTTAAAGAGAACAAAAGGCTCAACGCACGGTAAGTTCAAAATGAGTCACTTGACTTCTTTTTTATCCTAATTATTCCCACCATGACGGTATTTGCTTGGATGCGGAGTTTAAGGAAGAATGAAAAACTTTTGACACAAGATAAATAACATACTAAAACTACCTTAGGATCATGTGATCTTCTACTTGTTATTTCATCCCTATAAGAGCATGTTATTAAGAGAAAATGAGAATTTTAAAATAAAAGAGTTAACAAAAATAAAAAGGTGTCGATCTTTTTGGAACAGAACAAAAAAGAACAATATCAGATAAATAGAATGGAAGTAGTGTGATAAATTCCAAATTCCAAATTCCAATTGCACCCGTACTTTTGGGCAAGTACAATTCAGAAAGATAAATATACTTAGCTCATAACTGCCAGCACTTTGCGTTCTTCCTTGTAAACATTATGTTCATGATAACCAGCAGTTTTGCATTCTCCCTTCTCGTAAACATCGTGGAGTTGTTACTTGTAACATACTAGTCTTTTCAGATGCTCTTTTCTAAAGTTCCCTTTTATGTGCTTTTTCTGTCCTTCAGATCTCTGAATATGAGAAGATGGATGAGGAACTTAATGCTAAGGTAATCCTAATAGAATTTGCTTTAGCTGTTGTGTTTTGATGTTCCAGTTGAACGGTGGCATCTAGTTTCAAGTTTTTGCTCTAGTATATTATGAAAGATCTTGAGAACCATGTATTGTTTATGCAACCTATGTAGGTAACTTTGCTAAGGAAGGAACTGAAGGAAGCCCAGCGCGAGTACGGTCGGTTGCTTATTGAATCAGGATCCCTGGAGTACCCCAAGATGGAAAGTACTGTTACTCTATAGATAATACTTGTTATAGTGCTCGTATGTATATATATTTGTAAACTTTAAGAAATCCCTTGCTCAGCTTCTATGTGCTTGTAAGAATAGGGAGCTAACTTGTTATAGTGCTTGTATGTACATATTTTCTGTAAACTATATATTTTTGGTTAAGAAATCCGATATAGCGTCTGCTGAAATTAGCAGGTTCTTCTTCTGTCTATGCACATTTGCTTGTCCCTTCCATATAGGGGCGGATACAGGTGGAAGGGAGTGGGGTTCACGTGCACTCGTACTCCCCTTCCTAAATTACTATAGTAATGCTATCTCTTTAAAACTACATAAAATATGTGCACCCAAGATAAAAAAAATCTATGGTATAATGATTACTGTGTGTACCTCTACAAGGCTAGGAGTTCAAATCCATGTTGATCTTGTTGCCTTTTCCTTTCTTTTTCTAGAATTAGATCCACCTATGAGAGACGGGCGTATGTGGCGTCTCCTCTTGCGTTTTAATTAAGTGTTTTTTTTCTTTTGGTTTATTCTTGCAAAATTCCCAAGTCTCAAACATTGAAATCCCTATCCTACTTTTGTCACCAAAAAACCAAATGTTTGAGTCTAAACTAGTGGAGGTGGAGTACGATGGTTCCGTTATACAACAACAAGGGGGTATCCGAAACTGCATCAACTATAGGGCATCAAACTGTTAAGCCACACTATGTAAGTCTGGGAGAGTGGTGAATATGAGGGTGAGGAGGGGTGTCGATTGTCGAGAACTAGTTCAGATTTATGTCGGGGGGAATCAGCTAGTGAAGCCATTTATACTGTAAGGAGATTGGTGGAACATTATAGGGAAAGAAAGAGGGTCTTATATATGGTGTTCATTGATCTAGAAAAAGCATACACAAAGTTCCAAGGGAGATTTTATGGGATGTTTGGAGGATATAAGGGTACCCATACATTAGGGCGATTAAGGACATGTTTAATAGAGCCAAGACCTGTGTAAGGTAGTGGGAGGAGACTTGGGAGATTTTCCTGTCAAGATGGGGTTGCACTAGGGATCAGCTCTTGCCCCCTTTTTTATTCGCCTTGGTGATAGATGTATTGGTGTGACACTTCCAAGGGGAGGTGCCATGATGTCTGTTATTTGCAGATAACATAATACTGATTGACGAGACGTGAGGTGGAGTTAATGCGAGGCTGGAGGTTTGGAGACAGACTCTGGAGTCTATAAGTTTCAGCTTGAGCAAAATTAAAATAGAATACATGGAGTGCAAGTTTAGTGACATGACTTACGAGGCAAACGTGGAAGTGAGGCTTGACATACAAGTCATCCCCAAGAGAGAAAGCTTCAAGTATCTTGGTTCTATCATCAAGATAATTGGGAGATTGACGAGGATGTCACACATCGTATTATAGTGGGGTTGGATGAAATGGAGGCTTGCATCAGGTATCTTGTGTGGTACGAATGTTCCACAAAGCCTTAAAGGTAAGTTCTATAAGGTGGTCGTTAGACCGACATATTGTATGGGACAAAGTGCAGACATCTAAGAATTCCCATGTTCAGAAGAAAAAGTAGCAAAAATGAGGATGTTGAGATGGATGTGTGTGTATGTGTGTGTACTAGGTGATATGATTAGGAATGAAGACATTTGTGACAAGGTAGAAGTGGCTCTCGTGGTGGATAAGATGCGAGAAGCAAGACAAATGGTTTGAGCATGTGAAGAGGAGATGCACATATGCCTCATTGAGGAGGTGTAGGAGGTTGGCGATGGGGGGTCTTAGGAGAGGTAGAGGCAGATCGAAGAAGTATTGAGGAGAGGTGATTAGGCAGGTTATGACTCACCTTCAGCTTACCGAGAATATAGCCATGGATAGGAGGATGTAGATGTCAATAATTAGGGTAGTAGTAGCAGTCTCGTATTACTTTGGCTTATATTTCTATTACTACCTACTGCTTCTTTCTCTTTGATTTTTCTATTATTTTGTTGTAGCTACTGCTTCTCTTTTCATGGCTTCTTTACTACTTTATTTCCTTTTTACTACTGTCGGTTTTTGCTTTTTTTGAGCCAATGGTCTATTGGAATAATCTCTCTACCTTCACAAGGTAGGGGTAATGTCTATGTATACACTATCCTCCTCAAATTCTACTTATGGGATTCCACTAGGATTGTTGTTATTGTCGAGTCTAAACTAGTACTAGTAGTGAAGGATGTACCATAAAGTCAATAGATTCAATTGAACTAATAATTTTAACACTCCGTCATATATATATATATATATATAGAGAGAGAGAGAGAGAGTAATATAAATGTAAACTTGAGCAAGAGTAAAATAAATAAAAACTTGATTGTTATTGAAACTGAAAAATTGATAATACAAGTTAAAAACTTATAATAATATATTAGAGAGAGAGCTCTAATCAATTCTAGAGAGAGAGAGAGAGAGAATTCTTTCTCAAGTGATAGTGTAAGGTATGTGTTTTAAGTGATAGGAAGCTATTTATAGCCAAAAACTAAAAATTACTTAGTGTTTTCTAATGTCATTCATGATGTCATTAGAAGTAAGTGCTAGATGATGTCATGGATGATGTCAGTTGTGATGTCACATTGATGTAGTTTCTGATTAATTTCTTAGAACATTAAATCATGGTCTTCTTCTTCCTCTTCTTCTGATGATTTTTCAGACAAATTGCTTGATTTTGTTGACCTGGAACTTGTGTCTTGAGGAAATCAAGAATTTTCTTCATTTCCTAAATAAAATTAAGCCTGCTGCTGGAATCAGCTAGTTGTGCCTTTGCAATAGAATTTTGTTGTAAAAATAAAATTTGAGCAGCATCTATGATAGCAAGATGTTGCGGATGAGATAGAAACCACTTGTCTACTGCTGGCACTAGGAGTGTCAATGAATATTTAAAAACCAACAAAGACGACCGAACCTTACCGCACCGAACCGAATTTTAGGTTTCTTTAATAAAACCGTAAGTTTTTATTTAAATCTATAACCGTACCGATAATTAGGGTATGTTTTTTAATTTTATAAAAACGAACCTTAAAAATACCGAACCGTACCGAATACATTTACATGAAAAAAATATGTTTATATATTAAGTTTAAAAATAATAAAACATTAAATTTTTTCTTGCTTTGGAATTATGAAAACGTTTACAAGACAACAAGTAATTAAACTCAAAATCTTAATTCTTAAACCTATTATACTACTCCTATTGAAACTAAATTATTTCCATCATATTCACTAGCAAGACACAAGGTATTCTAGTGATTATGAGTAACAAACTACAATGTATTGCATATGTTTTCTTTCATATGATTTAAATTTATATTTTTAAATATTTAATCATCTATAGACTTTATTCTCGAGTTCAAGCTTGCTTAATATCTTTTAACTCGTGTGATTTGTATTTTCTTTGTCTTTGCTTAGTTTCTTTTACATTTGATGAATCTATACTCTAATCATCTTTCATGTATTCTTAATTCATCAACCTTTAAATAGTAAAAAAAGTCTAGAGAGTTTTTCTAAGTCCTATAAAAGTATGTATGTTATTGCATTCTGCTTCTACTAGTGCTTTTAAATGACATTTTAAAAAATACCGAAGATTAAATCGAACCGTATATCGAAGAGAAACCAACATGATTGGTACGGTTTCTACAGTCTAATTTTAGTTATACATAATAGAATAACCAAAAAATTGGTATGGTACAAATTTTATAAAACAACCGACCGAACCGAACCATTGACACCCCTAGCCTGATATGGATTTTGACTGAACCACAGTGGTTGATGAATGTGTTGGTATTACTGTGTTTAACATCAGAAAATTAGAGAAGCAAACAAACGTTAGTTCAATAAACAAATCGTAAAATAATTCCAAGCCCACTGAATGCACAGTGTGTCCTTACAAAATTTAATCCCCTCACTGTTTCCCAAGGTATACGGATTAATTCCTCCCAGGATAGAACGGAATAACTATTCTGTGATAGCAGCACTTCAAATCACAGAACTTCAGCGAACTCAACAAATGGAGCAAATCACACATGACACTTATGTTTATTTAGAATATAATGCAACCATAGAAAAGAGAGGAGAAGATTTCAGATTTTTCTTGTCTCAAAAATGAGGCCAAGCCTCTAAATTTATAGACAAAGGAAGGGTGAGATGGAGAGGTACAATCCAAAAGGTGGCTCTTTCATTTCTCATTCACACCCTTTAAAGAAAAAATGCAACAATCCCTTACATGAATGGGGAATGGACATATGTGAAAAAACATGCATGAAAATACTGTGTGATTCGCAAGTAAGGATTAATCGCAGCTGGATAAGTAGGTTTCCCTTTGAACTTTCTGTAGTGAACTTATGTCGGATATACTCGGTCAATCGGTAGATTTGATATCTTTGAACCGTCGATCTTTAGTGTATACCTAGACAACTATAAGTTACACAATCAATCCTTAACCGTCGTTGGTTCTCACGGTTGTGTTTGTTTCAACCATGAACACCGCCCGATTTCATGAATGCTTAGAGAATGGGCCTTTAATTTCATTCCCCTTAAAGCGGCTTACACTTCACACTCACATAGGTGATTTCTAAACGTGTAATCCTATAGACACACTATCTGGTCAATCCTGCCAGACTTAGCAAATCATTAAAAAGCTTTAAGCTTATTGACTCATCAAAAAGCCTTAATGTTTTACCTTGATTTCTGAATATTGTCTTCATCACGAGAATGGGTTGAGTTATTTGACAATGTTGAACCGTCATTCATAACTTTGTTTGATCTCTTTGAACCTAGCTCTTGGGATCTCCAGTCTGCTAAGTAGAGTTACTGCCATGATGACTTATCCCAGGCCTTAGCCTCATTCCCTTCGATGATCTTTCAACTGCCTCTCTAGATAGGCCTTTTGTAAGTGGATCCGACACATTATCTCTTGACTTTACGTAGTCAATCGTGATAACACCACTAGAGAGTAGTTTGTCTAACGGTATTGTGTCTCCGTCGAATGTGACGAGAATTTTCATTATACATAATGCTCCCTGCCTTGCCTATTGCCGCTTGACTATCACAATATATACGTATAGGTGCCAAAGGTTTGGGCCAAAATGGAATATCTTCCAAGAAATTCCGGAGCCATTCAGCTTCTTCACCGGCCTTGTCTAAGGCTATAAACTCAGCCTCCACTGTAGAGCGGTCAA